AAAATAATTGTTTAAATTTATAGGATAGGTAATTTATGTATTTTGGAATACATCTCCTGAAAAATCAGATTTGAAAAAAAGATATAATTAATTACGGTTGGCAAATAGCACAAGTTTAGTTTATAGCGTATTTTTTAAGCTACGTGAAGTTGACCGAACGATGAATCATATGTCATTTTTTAGTGCTTTGTTAGTGCTTATTAGTGTTACAATCCGTATAGCAGCCGATTTTAAGGAAAAAAAGTGATAAGCAAAAATAAAAATTTGTGCCAACTTCACGCTTAAATTTTGATTGAAAGCACTAACAATGAAACTTATATCATTTTTAGTGCTTAGTTAGTAGAGATTAGTGCTTCAATCACTTTTGTAGCCGAATTTAAGAATAAAAAGTTATCGGCGAAAAAAACAAAAATAAACAAATATTGGCGACATGCCAAAAAAAACTAGAGTAGTACTAAACATCCGGTTTTCGCCATTATTTAGTGCTTAATTAATATATTTAAATTCAGTTATTAATTTGGTTAACCGTCATATGGAAAAAAAGTTATTAGCTAAATAAAAATCATGACGTCACGATTTAGGCTTGAAGTTTGCCGAACTTTTGGAAGCACTAACGATGAAACTTATATCATTCTTTAGTGCTTAGTTAGTAGAGGTTAGTGCTTCAATCACTTTGTAACCGAATTTAAGAATAAAAAGTTAATGGCGAAAAAACAAAAATAAACAAATATTGGCGACGTGCCAATTCAAAAACTAAAGTAGTACTAAACATCCGGTTTTCGACTATAGTGCTTAATTAATATATTTAAATTCCGTTATTAATTTGGTTAACCGCCAATGGAAAAAAAGTTATTAGCTAAATAGAAATTATGACGTCACGATTTTGGCCTGAAGTTGGCCGAACTTTTGGAAGCACTAACGATGATACTTATATCATTCTTTAGTGCTTCGTTAGTAGAGGTTAGTGCTTCAATCACTTTTGTAGCCGAATTTAAGAATAAAAAGTTATTTGCAAAAAAAACAATTTGAATTCCGTAATTAATTTGGTTAACCGTCGTATGAAATAATCGTAATGCGCTAAAGAAATATTTATTGGTCAAATTTTGGCCAGAAAATTATGAAAGCACTAACGATGAATATCATATCCTTATTTAGGGCTCCCTTAGTAGAGGTTAGTGCTTCAATTATTTTTGTAGCCGAATTTAAGAATAAAAAGTTATTGGCGATAAAAAACAAAAATAAACAAATAATGGCGACGTGCCAAAACAAAAATTAGTGGTTAACATCCGGTTTCGCCATTATTTAGAGCTCAATTAGTAAATTTGAATTCCGTAATTAATTTGGTTAACCGTCATATGAAAAAATCGTAATGCGCTAAAGAAATGTTTAGAAGTCAAATTTTGGCCAGAAAATTATGAAAGCACTAACGATGAAATTTATATCCTTCTTTAGGGCTTCCTTAGTAGAGGTTAGTGCTTCAATTACTTTTGTAGCCGAATTTAAGAATAAAAAGTTATTTGCGAAAAAAACAAAAATACAAATAATGGCGACGTGCCAAAACAAAAACTATAGTAGTACTAAACATCCGGTTTTCGCCATTATTTAGTGCTCAATTAGTAAATTTGAATTCCGTAATTAATTTGGTTAACCGTCTTTATAAAAAATTATAATACGCTAAAGATTATGAAAATATATAAAATTATAAAATATGTAATTGATTTATTAATCACATGTGAGAAATTCTGTGGTTAATTTTTTATATTACTCAAAATTTTTTTGATTACTTGTAAATTTTTATAGTATGTAAATGTGAAACATTCTTATATAGTTAAATAACTTTCCATAATTATTGTAAAAAACATTTTGATATAATTTTTTAAAAAAAAATTTTAATAATAAAACTTTAATAAAGACGAACGTCAAATTTATATGGAGAATATAATTTTTTAATGTTTTGGTCTAAAATTTTCTTAGGCGTCTAGAAAGGTGTCAGAAAATTTGTAGGGTCGATATGGCAGTAATTTATCGAATCAGGGTAACTCTCAGAATTCCTGCATAAGTATTAGTGATCTGCATCGGGCCTAATTTTTCAAGCCGGGCCCGATCAGAATTTTTTTTAAAAAAAGTTTTGCCTGCCCGACACGAACCATAAATTTTTTTTAAAAAATTTACCAACCCGGCCCGGTCATACCCGAATTTATTTAAATATAGAAAATAATTTTTAAAATTACTCAAAATAAAAGACATATGTTATATGTTGTCTAGTTTCTATAAATAAAATAAAATATTTTTATTTTACATAAAAAATTCATTATATAATTTAGATATATTTAAAAAAATTTCTAAGCCCGACCTTAACCGGCCCTAATTTTTAAAAAGATATTAGGGAACCGGCCCGAACCCGATTTATTTAAAAAAAATTAGGCCTGAGCACTGTTCGACGGGTACTGGCCGAGCCTACTTTTGCAAATCTCTAATAAGTATATTCATAATAATGTGATCTTAATATAAATAAAATTTATGATAGAAATATATATATATGCATAATTTTTTCGAATAAAATAAAACTATGTAAAAAGAACAATTTAAATTAAGAATAAAAAATTTCTGAGAATGTTTTTAACCATATCATTCAATGACACCTCAGAATAATAGATGCTGGAGAAAAAATGTAGTTGTTACAATAAAATAATAAAAATTATATAATTATTACACAAGAATGGGGTTCAATGGAACCATTTAGGCAGTAGTGGAAATAATATTTTGTGACTTGGTTATAGCTATTCATGTATTTTGGGAACCTTAATATATATAAGGTTCTGAAACATTATATTACTCTAATATGGCAGATGATCTTCGGAAACAATTGATAGGCTAAGTGCAAAAAGAGAATATGCATTTTTTAATTACTTGGGGTTTTGAATCAAACTAATTAGGGTTTAAATTTTACAAAATAAGTACTAAATAAGTTTGTCGCTGATATATTTTTTGTTTATTTTGTTAATAACTTTTTTATTTTAAATTAGGCTATTAAACTGATAGAAGCTCTAACCTCTACTAAGGAAGCTCTAAAGAAGGAAAATTTAATCGTTAGTGCTTTAATAATTTTCTGGCCATAATTTGACCTTTAAACATTTCTTTAGCTTATTACAATTTTTTATAAAGACGGTTAAACAAATTATACGGAATTCAAATTTACTAATTGAGCACTAAATAATGGCGAAAACCGGATGTTTAGTACTACTATAGTTTTTGTTTTGGTACGTCGCCATTATTTGTTTATTTTTGTTTTTTTCGCAAATAACTTTTTATTCTTAAATTCGGCTACAAAAGTAATTGAAGCACTAACCTTTACTAAGGAAGCCCTAAAGAAGGATATAAATTTCATCGTTAGTGCTTTCATAATTTTCTGGCCAAAATTTGACCTCTAAATATTTCTTTAGCGCATTACGATTTTTTCATACGACGGTTAACCAAATCAAATTTACTAATTGAGCTCTAAATAATGGCGAAACCGGATGTTAACTACTACTATAATTTTTGTTTTAGCACGTCGCCATTATTTTTTTATTTTTATTTTTTTTCGCCAATAACTTTTTATTCTTAAATTCGGTTACAAAAGTGATTGAAGCACTAACCTCTACTAACTAAGCACTAAAGAATGATATTTCATCGTTAGTGCTTTCAATCAACTTTTAAGCGTGAAGTTGGCACAAATTTTTATTTTTGCTTATAACTTTTTTTCCTTAAATTCGGCTACTATACGGATTGTAGCACTAATAAGCACTAACGAAGCACTTAAAAATGACATAGGATTCATCGTTTATGCTTCCAAATGTTCGGCCAACTTCACGGAGCTTATTTTTTATAATATCAAACTTTTTAAAATTATATTTTCTTTTTGGGAACACAATTGTTAGATCCATAATTATTTATACCATTTTTAATTTTAAGCTTTTCAATTTAATTTTATTTTAATATAGTTGACATTATTTTATGAAATTTTTTTAAAATATAAGCAACCCTGCATTCAATAGAGTTAATATTATTTTCTTTTGTCCAATAATATTAGCTTCGGTTTACACTACTTTTTTAGTTCGATTTTATCTTAACTACTAGGTATAGACTGATTTGATTAATAACTTATCAAATTTATTTTATTAGTAAATTATTTAAAAATAATGATTTTATTTAACTGCTATACTGACAGTTTTATATTGAACAATATATTAATTATTTATAATGATATAAAAAATATATATTGATTATTTAGAATAAATAGAAGATAAATAAATGATAGTCTATTAAAACTTGTAAGGATTTATGAATAAAAAAAGCATGTAAAATAGAGTGCGAAACATGTGTCAACTTGAATTTAGAATTATCATAAAAGAAAATTATTACACAAAAGACAAAATAAAATATAGGTATATATATATATATACAATAACGGGTAAAATATTAAAACTATGTGCGCAAATCCTTTAAATAGGCTTAATCAAATGATAAAGGAGGGAGAGGGGGGGGCAAACATAAAGAAATTGTTCATTAGCAAATTTTATCAAGTTTTCTGAAATATCATTTCAAAATATTAAAAATTATCCCCTTTTTAACCCCCTCCCCTCCCTCCTTTGCCATTTATTAAAACGTGTATACAGAAAAAAAACATTTTAAAAAGATGTGGAAAACTAAAAATTATTTTTAAAAAACGGTCAAAGACCTTTAAAAAGCTAACCTAAAGCACTCCAATATATTTTATGAGAGAAAAAGTTCCGCCAAAGTTTATCCCCTCCTTAAAAAATTCTTGGCTAAGCCTATGCAGAGTTTTAAGTCCTATACCTTACAAATTGAATTTTTTTTTATAATATATAAACAATTTTGGTTAAAATTGAATTTTATAAAAATAGAATGGTAAGAAATAAAATATTTATAAACATTTTTGGCTAACATAATTTCATATATATATTTTTAAAAAAGACCGATAAAGAAAAAGATGAAAATTATTTTTTCAACATTAGTATTATCTTATCACTTCTTTTGTCACTTATAATAGCATTTCTACGTGATGTCGATCTACCACTTTCACTAAGTGAAAACTGGTGGAATCCTAAAAGATTATTATTTGCTAGGTAATTTCCGCACCAGGTATATCCAAATTTTCTGAGCAAAGCCTAAAGAATAACAATAATAACTTTTATATTATATAAATCAATTTTTTTTTTTAAACTCTAGATTGCCAAAAAATTGATCTTCGGACAATTAATCTCATGGTAGATAACTCTCAAAAAATTTCTAGGAAAATTGACCTGCAGAAAGATTCATATTCTGAAAATTGGCCTAAAATTTTGCTCAATAAAAAAATCACCCTCCTCCCTTTTATATAATTACAAATAATTTTTCCCTAAATATTTTAAAAAAAAACTCCTATTTGAATTTTATTAAGTTAAGAAAAGAAGGAAAAATTATGAAACCAAAGTGATAAATTCATTTTATATTTTTGGTCATTATAAAAATACAACTTGCATTTATATTAGTGTTGTTAAACGGCTCAATTTTACGATTTTTAAAAACGGCTCAAATTAAACATTTGAAATAAATTCCTCTTCAAAAAGGTATACATCACTAATTAAATATAATTTTTAATTTGTTGCTTAGCTTTAGTTTTATTCACTTTTTTCTAATTCTTCTGATAGTTTATATACATAAAATTTTTCTCCAATTTAGTAACTTTTCCGGCACTCTTTTTCATGTTTAATTAAAGAGATTTTAAGATGGCTTATTTGTTTTTATGAGAAAAATGTATGCATGAATTCCATTAAATATTATTTGTTTCTAATATTATAGATAACATTGTTTTACATTTGAATTTGCTGCTTTTCGAGTATCTCCAACTATAATAATACCATCTTTTTTTTTATGTAGAACTAGTAAATATCTCTTGAGATAAAAAATTAATTGATTCTTATTATTTTCTGTCAATTTCATATTTTAATTTTTGGATATTAAAGAAAAGTTTTCCCGGGGCCAACTTTTTGGGAGTCAATTTTCTGGTAAGGGCCAATTTTCCGGAGGCCAAACTTTAGATGGTCATGATTTTAAATGTAACAATATCAATACTAGAAATTGTATTCCCTCCGAGACTGAAAAATGTTTATTGCCGCTACCCTCCCAGGGCTCTAGATATTGTTATTACAGTTAGTAACTTTAAAGTAAAACGAACTAGTTACATTTTAAACCAAGTAAATTTAGATGACTGTATGGTGATTATTTAAATCAAATATTAAAATTTTGATTAAGGGTGCGTCCAAAGTCAAAATTTTATATTTAAAAAATTTATTATAGGATCAAATTAATATTCGCACAAAAATTATATCTCAATTAATTGGAAGCGCATAACTTTGGGAAATGTAACTAAAGCCGATATTTTATAATAAAGTCACATAGCTGTAATACTTCGTTTTGTATCAAATAACAATATTTATGTGTCAAATCTTAGGCCGTGTCCTGATTCGTTTTATTTTCTAAATAGTCGTTTTCTTAGATGCCTATATAGCTACCTCTAAATAGCCCATAAAAGAAAATGACTATTTCGAATTACTGTGTGTATGTTTTATTTGTACCGAAAAAAATATATAAATAAGAAACAACATTTAATTAATATATACACGTTCTTTTTTTCAAAAAAGGGTGTCTTAGTTCAAAATCCGTTTAGTCAGACTAAACAGAAACAGGTCTCAAAAATAAGACAGACATCGACCCGGCCTTATAAGAAAAAATTTTTTAAAATTTTTTTAAACTTTATTAAACCTTTTTGTATTTCTGGTAAGATAATGCGTAAATGAATGGATTATACAAAGCAGACGTTTTTGCAAACATAGCTGGAAACAAAGTTACTATAGGCGTGATAATTGGCGTCTTGCCAATCAAAGATATTACGAATAAACTTGCGTAAGGGCCCCAAGCTACTAAAAAACTATATTTATTAATAAATTTAATTTAGAAAATGATTTTCCTTGAGTAGTATTTTTAAAAAAATTATGATTATTTATTATCAAAAAAATAATTTTTAAGGGATTATATTTTATAAAAAAATTGAGCAATAAAAAATAAATTATAAAAAATCAATTTATCAGTAATTGTCCAATTAGATTTTAATAAATATTTATCATATTAATATAATGTTGCATTATTCTAATTTTATTATTTATTACAATATAAATTTTATTTTTTGTTAGAATCTAATTTTTATTATTTGATTTTTATTATGTGTTATAATCTAATTTTATTTTATAAACGGCGTAACCTTACTTTTTTAATATTATTTTACTTTTTTGTATTTCGTTTATATTCTAATTTGGACTTATAAAAAATGTATATAATAGAAGTGTGAAATGGAAAAAATAGTATTAATAGTATTAATAAAGTTAAATATAAATAAACACCTTTTTACCTTTGTGCACATAATATATGTTACTCTACATATAATATAAATTGAATCAAGCATTAATAAACATAAACTAAAAGAGATTTTTGATGTTACAATTTATGAAGTTACATTATATCTTGAAACGATAGAAATTCTGATTCTAATGGTTATTGTCACAACTAATTTACAAAATTTAATTAAAAAAATATAAGCGCCGATAATGCCATACTGTTTAATTAATTTACAATTTAGATAATTTTCTATATATCCTTTAGGTTTCACAAAAAATTATCCAGTGAAAAAAAAATTTAGCTAAAAATTGGCCCCGTCTCGATTTCGATATAGGGATCAGCACTTATTGAATACGCACGAATTTATTTTATTCTCCCCAATAATACGTATGCACTTGTATCAATCAGACAGAATCAATTTAAGAGTATCCATTTTTAAAAAAAATCTGTCATGAATCCGGAACAAAGGTATCGCGTTCCTTTTCCATTATTCCAGAGATATTTTCAAATCTAGATCTTCAATCCATCACTGATGCGTTCCCGGGAAAAATATATAATTTTATTAATTTCATCTCTATTTATATTCATGATGTGATGATTTTAATATGAAAAAAAATGAAATTTAAAACTTTTATAAAAAAAATGTTCATGTGAAGCAAACGAGAAATTTTTAAAAAAGCGAAACGAACCTTTGTGAGATATTATAAATATTATGTAATAAATTAAATAAATTTTCACATTAATTTTGGAAATTACCGAAGTGTTACGCAAAAGTTCCATATCATATTTCCATTTCCTTCTTTTCCTTCCGTCCCTCCCTTTTCTCCTCTTCCCTTTCACTTCTTCTTCAACTCAAAATAAGGCGGGAAAAAAATAATAGATGCAATTTTTCATATTATCATTAATAAGCTTACATAGATCAACTCAATTTAAAATAAATAAATTTATGTAAAGAATTTTGTTCATATAATTATTTTTCACCTTACCCAAACAGTAGATATAAGGCCATTTTTGCGATTTTGATATCTAAAGCAATTCCACGCATATGCATGAGCCGTCTAGAAGCCGAGATCTCTTTCGATTGCTGCTTCATTTGTTTGTTGTTTATGACGATTGTCCGAAATATTATGATATACGAAATCATAATTACTAAAAGTGGCACGACGAAACAAAATATAAAGAGGCATAGGGCATAGGAAATAGTTGATTTGTCCTAAGATTATGATTCATAAATATTTAATCCTAATGAGATGCCCTTAATCATTCATAGAAAAACAACAACATATAACTTAAAATTCAATATGATTTTGTTCACATCTTTCTGAAATGCATGACACATTTACCTTTGAAACATTTATGAAGATGTTAAAGTATCTTACGATGCCTTACTAGCTGGATACTATGTTTATAAGATTAACTATGGTTGATATAGCCCCCAAAAATGTTATGGATGCTCTGCATTATTTCAAACACATTTTAGATTAAATTCCCAATGTATTAAAAGACTTTATAAACTCTTCCCATTAGTAAACTAATGAGAGAACATTCTCTTTTTTAAGAAGAATAACAGAGGCCTGCAGAAGTACCATTTGCAAGGCACGGCTCGGATTTTTTTAAAATAATTTTTAGGCCCGGCTCGGCTTTTTTAAAATATTTTCAGGCCCCGGCCCGGCTTTTTTTTAAATAAAATTTTCAGGCCCGGCCCGGATTTTTTTAAAAATAAATTATATTTATTTTTGATTTTTATAGCTAATAATAACGATTTCAAATATAAGTTGTTTTAAAAAATACAGCCCGGCCTGGGTGATTTTTTAAAAATAATTCAGGCCTGGCTTGGGTGTTTTTTTAAAAAAATTCAGGCCCGGCCGGGGTGTTTTTTAAAAAAAATTTCGGGCCCGGCCCGGGTATATTTAAAAAAATTAAAATACTGTCCGGCCCAGGGGCCGGGCCTGCAGATCTCTGAAAAACATACCAAGACAACATCTGAAAGTAGATTGAAAGGTTTGGATCTTTTGAATATTCATAGGCATTTGACGACCAGCAAGGATGAGATAATTAAAAAATTAGCTCAATCCCAACGAAGATTGGATTTTACATTGTATATAACATACAAAATACAATTATTCCTAAGAAACTTTTTGTGTAAAGGCTCAAAAAATTCAAATTTCTATTTTGGGTCATTTAAGTGATTCTTTACATATAATTTTTTTATAATTCACATTAATTTAAAATTGTGTATTAGGAATAGGTATTAGTCCTAATAAATTTATGCTTGATATTTTTTTAAAAAAATAATATTTCTTAAAAAATTTTATTATCCCCCCCCAGACCAAATTCCTGCGTACGCGCATGGATCTTAGTATGATAGTGACGTCTCCAGGAATATCTACAATTTAAGAAGTGGTATGGCTTTGAGATGGTTGACTGTAATCTACTTAAATGATAGGTATTACAATATCGCAACTTGGAGGACTATGGATGATATATGAGTTGTTTAGTAGATAATTCTAACTCGAGATTTGAATTTTGGATAAATTTAGTCACTCTTGGATTGGCTTGTGCTGCACCATTGATTTTCCATCTATAATATGTAAGTAATGGAGCCAACAACTAAATGAGCATCCCAGCCCTTTTGTAAAGGTATTATGTGCCTAATCAGAGAAATAGAATTAGCCATTTCTAAGATCTACAGTTAGATCAGTGCCGGCCATTATCTGTTATGTGATTGAAAATAAAGAAGGATAAAATACTAACGAAGAGCGAATAATGATACCTCCCGATTTAAATGATAGAGGGAAATCAGCTAAAAGTGGGAGAGTCATTAGATGTAATAAATTTTTACATCTCACACCAGGTGAACCATAGATAATTCATCTTGGGTGATTGCAGAAAATTTATTGTAAAATAGGCAGATGAGATAGTGAATAACATGAATTCATTCAAATATATTTGAAAATATATTCATTTTACCCCAATTTACATTTATATTAATACCGATCGGTGACATAAATAATATCTTTCTAGACTGACTATATTTATTAAAATGCATTTTTAAGATGAAAAAAAATAAGCTGGTGACACGCTATTTTTTCCCCTAATATAAAATATTTATTTATAAATAAATGGAAACTAATTTTAAAAAAAATAATATTATTTCATAAAATTTTAATGTAAATTATTTATATGGGAAGCCACAATGGCATGTCACCAGCAATGAATTCTCGTTTGGATAGTATTCTCTGTGATTGATAAGAATACACAAAAAGAAGAACATATTTTTCTTTAAAAACCGGTTTTTAGAACGAGTCATTATAACAAAGGGTTCTCTAAATTCATTTATCTTTATGTATTACGAATTGGAATATCATAAAATTTATTTATTAAATTCTAATTACATTGCTTTATTGTTCGAAAAATATAAATAGAAGAAATATCTAATTGGAAACAAGTTACTCCTTCAACCTCCGTCACCTTCAATACTTAGAAGTGCATCTTATTGAATTTAATATGGAAATATGTTAGTGAGTGGGAATATGTTTTTTATCGGCAATGTGTTATTTTTCAAAAAAAATTTTTAAATGTAAAAAATCTGATTTTTCCGGAAATGTATTCAATCATATTTGGAATACCTGCCCTATGAATTTTCAAACAATTTAGCCATGAACTTAATATAATTTATATTAGTTTTTTTTTCATAGATTTTTATATGTATGCGGAAATGAAGATCTTTGATCGTAGGGCTATCTTTGACCCATGAATTTAATTTAGAAAAAATAAAATATATTAAACATTTTATATCTAAATAATATTATTATCAACTAACCCTACTGATATAATCGATGGTACAAGATGTGAGAGGACCTTCGAATACATAAGCGCCCCAAGCACCCAGAGGTAAAAAACACCAAAAGAGGCAATATGACCAAATGAGGATAATTATAAATATGGCCTGCTTGTAGTTAATTTTTTTGCCTTTTATGCTGTTTCCGATGACAAACGCTCTATCGCAAGCTATAGATGCTATGGTATTGATCGATAATAGTCCAAACAAGCTTCCAGTAAATCCGTAAAAATTGCAACCTTTGTAATGAGTATTTTCATTTTACATATAATGTGAATCTTGTAGAGGTAGTCAGGTCAATGCATAGGCGTATCCAGGATTTTTCTAAAGGGTGGGGGGGGGGTCACTATTAGAAGATTTTTCCTTATGGATTTTATTGGTAATCTTTAGGGTCCACTTATTGTAGGCTTTTGGCTATATTCGATTTTTATAAAAATAATTTTGGGTTTTCTCTTTTTTAAAATTAAAATCCTGTTTTGAATTATAGTTATTATTTTTAAAAGTTATTAACTTTTACTAATTTTCATTTTTTGGGGGGAGAGAGGGGTGGGGGTGGGGGTATGAGGGGAAATTTTATTAGTTTTAAATGGTATTTACGAGAATGGGCAGATTTGCGATGGAGGGTTAAGTTCCTACCTCTCCTCCCCTCCATTGGTTACCTGCCTGGGTCAACTATAAATTATTTTATTATTTTATATTATAATATTAAAAACTTTTAAAGGCTATCCAAGAGCCTCATAAATATTATATTAAATAATATTTTAATATGTAATATATCCTAACCTGAATTTTATATATATATAAGCATTTACACATTTGGTAAATGTTACATTATTTAACGCGCAAACTTTTTAGAATTAATTAATATCCTAATCTATATTTATGTATTATATACAAACATCTATTTAATTAAATGTTATTTTTAAAAAAAATGGATAAAATTTTTTTTTTATCAAATAATATATACATACGCGTGTAAACTAAAAAAAATGATTAGGGTACGCTTCTCCCATAGCTATTTCCGGGGATTAGAGCTTATCTGTGCCAAAACTTTAAACCGGTATAAACATTATTGTTTACAAAAGCTAAACCGGACATAAACCATTAAAAAAATTTCACTCGAACCAAACCTTTAAAATAAGTTAGGGAACCGATTTGAACCACTTCATATCCCAACTCTTTAGTATTTAATAATAGATTTTGATTAGTTATCAATAGGTATTTAGATATTTTTATATATTACTATTTGACCTCGCCAAACACCCAGGTTAGCTAATTGAAGTGTTATCAACCCTATATTTTTTTTCCTCCTTATAAATACAATTGTAAAGAAGAGAATATTGAAAATATTTTATAATCGTATATGGCTAAATATTATTTCTTGGAAAACAGGGTCACGATTTTAAAATATGTGCTTCAATTTAAATAATTCTAAAAAGGTTAGTATGTGAAAAAAATTGAACAGGTTTTTTAACGATTTAAACAGACCCAATATTTATTTCATACTAGCCTGACAGAAACCGTGAAGTCCTATTTTTGTCTGAACTTGAACCAGAACAGAACCGATATTCTTTATGGTTCGAATCCCTGGCTATTTCCTATATATCTATTGAGCGCAAAATTTAATAATAATGCAGCAAATCGGCCATTTCTGTATAGCGGTTTTGCTGTTTTACTTGCAAAAAATTTAATAGGGAATGAACAAATTTAACCCATTTTACCTGAATTAATTTTTTTTAAAATTATTTGTATTAATTATGTTTGTATAAATCTAAAAAAGGATTTTTTTTTCTTAGCCCTTAATTACCTAGAGTGTATAAAGATAAGATAATTTAAAAAGTTTTTTTTTTTTCTAGTATACTTTTTTATTATTAGCTAAACATCCTTGAAATATAGTAAGCTTACTTAAAAACACTTTCGAACGAATCAACTCATTTTAAATTGACTCTCCGCTAGAAATTTAGATGGTTGACTAAAATTTAATAAATAAATCATGAAGTATTGATTTTAAATCACAGAGGAAGATTTTAAATTTTTTTGCTTCAATAAGAAAGATTCTCAAAATTGGAGATTTTCCCCACATAATAACATTCCCTAAGGTTATTTAAATATCTTACATACTAAAATAGAGAAAATTAAAATATGGCTCTAATACAATAAGAAGCTAAAAGATTGTGAATTTGAGTCACCTTAAAATGACGGGATATCGTAAAATATAATAACCCAATGAAGAGAATGTAAACGAAAAAAATGTGAATAATTTATTTTTTTAGTTGAAACCTGTTCAAACCGGTTTTACTTCATAAGGTTATTTTTATACAAAAAAAAAGTATATTGATTCAGTTATGGGGTTCAGATATTTATAAAAGTTTATAACGATTTAGGTTTATTCTGGTTCTCTACGGGTTTCTGCTTAAGTTTTTGCGCTCATCTAGGCAAAATAGCTACAGGCTTATGGCCATGGAGGTATATCACTCTATGAGGTGCACCAACTCCTAAATAATATTAGTCTATTATACTTCAAAAAATCTATAAACGATTAATGATGTGAAAATTGTGCCAAGGCCTTTCTGAGGCTATATAATATAAAATATTAGTAACTACAAAAGTCGAGCCAGCTTAGGTTATCCCTCAGATATATTTTTGAGGGGGGGGGGCCTTTCACTCATCGTGCATATCTGCTAATTTTATTTGGCTAAAAATATTCTACATTAGCAAAAACTGTTCTCCATTCTTAGTGAGGGTAAATAGATGCTAGTAAACACCTTATGAGGGAACTTAATTCAAATGTATCTATTCAATTATGATATAATAATATGTATACCCAAATCCCCAAGGAACCAATTTTCCTTGAATAACGCGATTATGCTAAGTGGACAATTGGATAATAGGATCATAGAATCGTTGAATACCAAATTTAAGAGTAAGAGATTTGATGGAGTACGCAAAGATTTTGTACTTTTTAAAAATTTATGTATTATATAATAATTTTATAGTATGTTTAATATATTATATACTATTACGTTTATTTTGAAAATATTTTATTATATTCAGGGAAATGGAACAGAACGTTCCGGACACGTGCCTAGAACGGTTGAATTATATATTCATTTCTCTTTTGTTATTTTCAGTTTGTTTAGTAAAATATTATTCATTGTTTAGTATTCATGTTTTTAAAATCAAATTTACAATATTAGAGGATAAATAAAATTTTATAGGTTTAAATTTCAACGGATAATATTTTTATTTTTACTAAGTTATAATTGAGAGGTTTCCAATTTTATTTATAAACACTACCCTTTAAAATATAAATGAAAAATTATTTTAGAGAATATCTTAAATAAAACTTAGATATAATTGAGCTATAATTAAGGATGAATAAAATTAAAATGATATTATAATAGAAATAAAATTATATTTTTTGAAAAAGTGTTGCAGAACATTCCGTGTCATGGAACAAAACAGAACTAAAAATGCAATTTTTCAGGATCGTTGTAAATTGGTATACATTTATTTAAACGTTTGTTGTCTTATTGAACTTGAAAGCAATCAAATTAAGATTACTTTCTATATGGCGATATTTACATGCAGATTTATTATTTTTATAGTAATTTTAATTTGATTGCTTTTGGGTTTAATGTATATCAATAAACCTATTAAAATATATATCAAAATTTTATAGTAGGGGAGACCAGGGATAGTTAGTAAAACTAACTATACCAATTGTCATCATTAGACTACAAAATAAAAAAAACCTAGGCTTCTACCTTTTATAGTATGGTCGCTATTATGGTTTAAGTAATAGTAGCGCACTTGCTATACGACCTTGAGTAAGATAGCAAGCCTTTCGGGGTAAATTGGCAACTATCAAATTTACATACTTTTAATTTTTATAATTTAAATTTACCCATTAATCTAAATAATTAATTATAAATCCAATCTATCTTGCATATAAAATCAAATAGTTAAAAAAATATATTATTGAATTTTCTCACCTCAATTTTAATTCCTTATTTAACTCATGATTTGATTATTAAAATATAATCTCTATCTAATGACTTTGTAAAAATTAATTACACATTTTATTAATGCAAATTACAAATATTTAAAAAAAAATTATTGATCATAATAAGAGCACACTAAAAAAAGGATCATTCTTGGCACAACTAGAATGGGCCCATTCAGGGCATTTGGCACAATATATCCAATCTTCTCATTTTTTACTATTTTTATAATATACAATTCCAATCTTTCTTTTTATTTTTATAGCTTTTACATTTTATTAAATTTTTTTTATATGGAAATGCGATATTTTTTGATGCTTTTTTTTCCTTTTTGTCAATAGAAATATAAAGTTTCGGCATTGGAATAATTGAATTAAATCTATAAGAACGTGAAAGAATGTTATCATCATTTAATAGCTTTTCACTGTCACTATCATGATTCGAATTTAGCTAATTAAGGTATATAGAAAATTTTAAATAATATTTTGCCAATCTATTTTATTTGTCATTTTACCCCCTTTACCCTAGGGGTAGTGAGTTACTTCCTCACTTGGCTATGTATTGATTCCCATAAAATTTTTTAATTATTCATTACCTTCGATTCCAAAGACACCCTGCCAAATATTCCATATAAAAGCTTCCCAAGGAACACAAATATCAATAATCTGATCAAAAAAACCCTAAAAAATGGCTTTCAAATCATCATTTATGCTCAAATTCCAACAGAAAATCAGAATGAATCCTTGGTTTCCTGATGTTGGTTGGGATAGTATATAAATTAATTTTTTCAGCGCGATCTAATAAAAATAATGGCCCTTCAATTAGTTCAGCCGAACTCCTAAAAATAAACAAATATTCGCACATTGCAAATGAAATATTTACTACATTTGTCAACATTGCCTTTGGTTATTTTAGGGAGGAATTTCTAAAATTTATCATAGTAATATGTAGAAAATTAAGTGAAATATGTGATTATCATATAGCCTTTTACAGACCATTCATCAAAGCAATTGCATTGCTATTCATGGTTTCATATAACAATGCAGGTAAACTCATCTCACCTTTTTATTTGTTATATTTAATTGCTTTTTTATAATTTATTTTTAAAAGCATTATAATTTTTTAAAAATATCTTTATAATCGTGATTTCCCTTTTTTATATATTTGTTTTAACCCTTCATAGAACAGGTGGGGCTAAGCAACCCCATTCATTTAAAAACTTTTACTTTCTCACTTTTAATTTGTCATATTAATTGCTTTTTAAATTTTTTTTAGGAACATTAAATGTCTCTGACAAATATATAATTAATTTTAATTAAAGCGATAATATATAATAGTAATTATACAAAAGTAAGTTAATCTAAAAAAAAAATAAAGAAGAGATATAGCAGAAATTAATCCTTATCATCATAGAAGGAGTGAATCTGCTTTCCCCAAAAACAGCCAGCGAAATAAAATTAATTGATTTTTTTGTTGTTACAATTGAAACGACTATTTTGGTTTCCAATAAAATTTCCTATACTCTCTAAATATTAAAGAAAGAAAGAAAGAAAGAAAGAAAGAAAGAAAGAAAGATGTTTCAAAATATAAAAGATGTCAAAATCATATTTTATCCTTTAAAAAGTAAAAAAAATGAAATATAGTTTTTTTATATTCAGAATTGTGCCCCGCCCCAGCGGTATAGGTCTGATTCAAAAATTATCTAAAAAAATAGAGGTCCAGAAAGGCTAAGTCCGAACCTTTGAAGTTTTTACATTTCAATTTGTATTTCTTTTAAGATTTTTTTATATACATCTTATTGAATGGACCATAATATAGCGCATTGATATTACCAAAGGAGAAAGAGGTATAAACATAATTAAAATACCTTTATAATAGGGCCTAGTCTAGATGTTAACAACAATATATCGGGTTAGTAACGGCTCGTTTTGAGCTGATTTAAAACGGCTAACTTAATATTTTATTCAGAAAAATATTACGCAAGATATTAGTTAGCGCAATCTCGATGCTTACATTTTTCTGGATAAAATATTGAGTTAGTCATTTTTATAAATCGGCTCAAGAGACGTTTAACAACCCTAAATCATTCGTGCATGGTCGAAAAATTATTGTAAGCCTTTAAAATGCATGACTAATTGAGCTTTCTATATTTCTCTAGTTTAATATTATTTTTGTATTTAATTTAGACAGCTCTTAAAAATACAAAGAAATAAGACTGAAGTAATTTATTTTCTTACTCAAAATCGAAAAACTTGAAATTCAAAATAACCTCGTCTATAATTTTTTTATTTATAAATTACCCGGTCATGGCTGTAATTTTTTGAGTTACGATTTTTACGGCCCAGTCCTGCCCGTTATAACTATATTTTTTAAATGACCAGGTCGGGCTTTGCAGATCTCTGATTACTACTAGTATATCAATATTTTACCTAGAAAAGATCCAAAACGCTATAAAGTTCCCAGACACGCCGGTTATCATGATAAAAATCATAAAACAACCAATTATAAAATGAACCCAGGAAGGAATAGGTGGGTACGAAGTTATCCAATACGCAAATAGTTTACCCGTTTTGCAATTAAGTAATATTTGGGATAGATTGGTCATCGAAGATAAAGGATTACCATTACCATCTAGTATATTAGTTAGACTGTATCGGTAATCATTATAATCATCCAGAAACGCACAAGAACTATAATTCATCATGAGAATTTGAGCAAAAAATAATAATTTTTTTTAATTAAATTTATTTTTATTATTATATTACAATATAATGTATTGATATAGAAAAAATAAAAATTATATTAAATATTATCGATAATGAAATTTTCATATATATATTATGTATGGAATCTACGGGAATTATATACTGAGTGCTTGAGGGGCCTCACTAGCCTTTACCATCTCAAGGGATCTAAAAAAGTTTTGGCACTATCTATTTTGCTGTCCTGTTTATCCCTCGCCTGGCCGGTTTTCCTTACAATATCTAATATTATCATATTCAAATTTTCACTTTCGTTATTTTTTATATATAATATATATGCTAACGTCATGTTTTTCAGTCATTGTGTTATTTTTCAACTTTAAATAATTTTTTTGATTGCATTTTATAAATCCTAAGAATTAAATTTTACCAGAAATGTATATATCAGCAAGCTTAGAATACCCTTCACTATGAATTTCAGAAAATTTAGCGGCGACGTTTTGATCATTTAAAATTTATCTAAAATAATTTTGGAAAATTTGATGTAAATTATATTAAGCTCAAATGCTCCAAGGTTTTCTAAAAATTACAGAGTGGGTTTTTCTACACATGCTGGAATTTATTTTCAGCAAAGAAATATTCTTAAAATATGAAAAAAAACGTTTAAAAAAATGACTTAAAGTTGGAAAAATAGTGCATTCTCTAGTTAAGGACGGTCTGATCTCTGTTCCAGATCGGAATGATACACACTGGGTTGACCCTTGTCCTCAAATTAAGGACCACCAGATCAATATTTAAAAATTTTTTTTTGATATTTCCTAATTTAATTCCTTTTGATGGAAAATGGAAATTATAGAATTGTTCCAGATAGAAAATTTTATATTTATATTTATTAGTAAATGGATTGTATTATTTATGGCAACTGTCAACAAAAATCTCATCACATTCTACTTATATGAATTTTAATTTACAGAACAATAGATTTCACCATAAACACATTTGTGAATTTTTACAATAGTAATATTCACTTTCACCTTAAATCTGGTAAAAATTCCTAATTCATGAGCCTACCAGACCTCAGCACAGCACCTACCAAATGTAACTGCCCATTATGTAATAAACTTATTAAAATAACCAAATTGGGGTTATTACCATCTCATCGTAACCAAATATAATGTGTCCTCAATCTGGGTCACCCATCTTATCACCAGCTATTCCTCGAACCCTTAATGCCTTTTCTGCTCTTGCCCTCATAACTAAACCCATAGTCATTATTCCCACATCATTGGCTGATGTGCTCACTAGCCCAATATTCCCTACCTCCACTGTCACAAATGCTTCGACGTTTGACCCAGCCGACTCCACAAATGTAGAAATATTTTTAACGACACCAAAACCATTTGTAATTTCATGAATACCTAAGGGAACAAGGCTTCAAGTTGCGAGACACCTGTCGAAAAACATGATTTCCTTGTTAAATAATTATTCTTATGTAAAACACAAAAGACATCCTGTCATTTGCTTTTACTACCTTACAAGTTCCTGATCCTGCTAGCAAAAAATCCCTGTCCCGGCAAATTAAGGATTCTACCATCTACCCCTCCCCCCCATCAATCACATTACCACATCTTTTAAGAGTGATGACACAGATAAAAATATAAATCACAAAAATGACCTGCTCACCAAGACCAGGCTAATATCTAAAAAATTGAATGACCTAAATGTTAAATCCGCCATACGTCTGGCAACCTTTGAAAATAAGCTGGCTCCCTACGATCTAGCAACTTATCAGGCTCTTCTCCTAAAACACCGCTCACGCGATTTTAAGAACGAAATACCCACTTACCCTGAATCTCCTCTAATGGCGGCCACTAATACCCCAGGCGACGTTAGAAGGGCTATTTTCTCCTTCAAACGCCCTTCCTCACCTGGGTTTGATGGGTTTCGCCCAATATTCCTACAGGATATAACCGCACCTTACACAATACAACAATGTGACGTTTTAGAAAAAATTATCCAACTAATTAACAATATTCATACTGGGGGCATACCACTCGCCATTATTCCACTCCTATACGGAGTTAAACACATCGTTCTCCATAAACTCAATAAATATATTAGCCTAACTATTGGTACCACTTGGCGCCGATTAACCGCCAAGCTAGTAGTTAACAGATTATTGTTCACAATATCCAATCACCTTTGCCCAAATTAATTAGTAGTCAATGTAAAAGGTGGATGTGAGGTATCCCTTCACATGACCCGGAGGTTTCTGCAAACAGGCCCCACCAACGATATCCTAGTCAAAATAGACTTCTCAAACGCCTATAACTCTCTAAGGCGTGGGGCGTTCCTAAATCCTATCCTCACCCTCTACTCAGAATACTCACAATTTATCTTTAATTGTTATGCTAGCCCCTCGCATCTTCAATTCGGAGATAGATTGATTCCTTCTTGCACTGGGATACAACAAGGTACCTTCTAGGTATACTTTAATGACCAATGCAAGCTAAATCTTCATAACTGGTATATCGACGATGGTATACTAGGTGGCCCATCGGCTAAAGTTATGAAGGCAATCCAGATAATAAAATCCAGCGGACTGCGAACTAATCTCGACAAGAGCAAATATTATCCTCTTGGGATCATCGACCACGATACTTGTTCAATCATACACCATTGAATGCTTTAACACATCTCGGATCTCAGTAGGTAAAGACGAGTCCTTTATTAAGTTCTTCTCCGATATTTTAAGAGAGATAGCTCTCATGCGCGATACACTATCCCGTCTCCCAGCTCACCAAGCTATCTTCCTATTAAAGAAATACCTTCTAATTCCAAGAATTTTATATACACTCCGATCGTCACGAATCTCTTATACGATGTCAACCTTGCTGCGCATGAACTAGAGATTAAACGCCTCACAGAAAATATTCAATTTTTAATTTGGAGACCTATCTTGGTTACAGGCTACCTTACCAACTAAATCTGGCGGCATTGGCATAAGGTCACCTTCCCTACTTCCGTTAGTGCGTTCATATCCTTTCGCCTGTTCTGCGAGCCCATTATACACACACTCTCAAAACATCCTGACCCCTTACTCATACGGGCAATTGATCTATGGAAGTCTCTCATTAGTCGATCCTCCATCGTCGACACTACAAAATGATTTGGATAAACCTCTAGTTCTCAACTCCGTTGCATACCTTAAATCGAGGAGCCAACCCGAGGACCATTCTCAACTCTTCTTCATTTCAGCACATAGTGGATACGAATTTCTCGAGGTTTCCTATCGAAAAACCTTGACCAGCTCCTAAGCAATGATGAATTATGTTAAACCATCCTTCTTAGACTTAATTGCGATATGATAATGCCTTATCACTGTATCCTCTGTCAAACGTTGATCAACTCCAAAGGTCTTCACTCTCTACATTGCAAGCACTGTAGAGGCAGACTCAAAAATGCAATGATACCATTGCCAGGGCCTTAAAATCTACCGGCATCCCATCAACCCTCTAACCTACTGGCCTTTACAATTCCGATGGTAAGCGGCCTGATGGTTCGACTATGATCCCTTAGAAGAGGTAGGAATTCCCAACCTGGGATTTCTCATGCTTTGATCCTCTTACCCCTTCCAATATAAATAGAGATGCCATACTAGATGCCGAGGTGAATAAACTAGCTATATATTCCCTGCCAATTATATATTCCTACCATTAATCGCCACGACTCTAATGTCTTTCGGCTCTCATGTCCTGACCTTCTTTAAATAGTTGGGAAAACGGATCTCTGTTAGAACCTATGATCCCAAATAGGGATTCTACACGCCAAAGATTATCCATAAACATAATAAAATACAACTCTCTCAGCTTTATACTTTCAATGTCAGAAACCCCCCTAATTGAACATTCTATGCATAGGAAAGACTTTGGCTATTTTGCTCCCAATTATAATGTTAACACTAAAAGGGAACTTGACTTTCAATATAAAAGATAGCAAGAATTAATGACTTTATATAATTATGATTTAATATATTTTTATTATGTGTACATTATTATTCGCTATTTATTTACTAATATATTATGTGGAAAATAATGCCTTACTTATACTACAATATTTAGATTTATTCCGATTTTATAATCCTATTAAATATAAAAATATTTTTTATAACTATATCAAATCAAATATGAATATTATAACAAATAATGCAACTATTTCATTTAAAAGTAAAGTGCTTTTTTAACGAGCTTTTTGTTTTCGTACCGTTACCAACAATGTAACAAGGTAGCCCAAATCTAGTGAAATAATTTGGCAGATCATTTATTATACTCGCTGAATTAATATGTGCTAAATCGGCGATTTCAGTCTATTTAGTAAAGGCGTATACGAAATTAAAAAATGCCTTACAGAAATGGGGTCTGATGATTATTACGTTCTTACGATAAAAATATCTTTCTATGCGGGAAGGAGATGCGAGACAGGAGATCAGCTAAATCTAGTAAAGGTTTTTATTGCTTACCGCAACAATCCAAATGCCACTACGGGTAATCTCCTGTAGAAGGATGTTTGGTTTGCCATTCAGAATGACGTTTGATCAGTGGAAATTCACGAGAGAAAGACCAGAAAACTTATAGGAACAAAAATATTATAAAGACAGAAACGTTGAGTCTCGTGATATTGAAAATAATCAAAATGTTTATATAGAAAACGAGAGGGTCGCAAGTCATCGTAAAATTGCTCTGTATGTTGTTGAGTCCTATGACAGAATAAAAAAAACAAGCATATTGAACAACGGAGAAATGTTCACGTCAAGTAAAGTAAATACCTATAACAATGATGGAAGACTTAGACTGCGTAGATGATAAACGAATGACTTTAAAAAAAGGGTTTTGAAACCCCCATCATGCCACCATGTCTAAATATTAATAAAATATCGATCAGGATTACGGTGCTAGGACTCAAAAATAATTTAAAAACCGGTGCGGATGATGGTCTTTAA